GCAAATAAATATATGAAAAAATGTTCAACATCACTGGTCATTCAAGAGATGCAAATTAAAACAACACTGAGATTCCATCTCACCCTATAAAGAATGACTATTATCAAGAAATCAATCAATAACAAATGCTACAAGGACTGGGAAAAAAGGAACCCTCCTCCACGGTTTGTGAGAGTGTAGACTGGTACAACCACTATGGAAATCATTGTGTAGATTCCTAAACAAACAAAAACAAAAAACAAAACAACAACAACCAAAAACTTGGATTAGAGGTTCCATTTGACCCTGCTATTCATCTTCCTAGAAGAATTAAAAACATCATACCACAGCAACATATGTGCACCCATATTTATAGCAGCACAGTTTGTAATAGCTAAATCTTGGAAACAATCCAAATGCCCATCAGCTGAGGAATGGACAAAAAAGATGTGGTTTCTTTTATACAATGGAATACTACTCAGCCCTAAAGAAGGATAAACTGGAGACTTGTATACATAAATGGGTGCAGCTCAGAACCACACTCATAAATTATATAGACCAGATGCACATGTGTAAACATTGTATTGCCTCTCTAGTGTGAGAAGCTGAAAGAGTAAAAGTAAAATTCAACATGTACAATAGGTATTGTAAAATGGGAAGAAACTTCAAAAGAAAAGTGAAACTGTAACGTGGGAATGGAGAGAAGGGAAAAGCAAAAAAAGAAAAAAAATATATATATATATGAGTTAAGGTAGTTGTACTACTAAGATTTGACCTAATATTGTTTGGACAATTAAATGCCAGTATCTTGTATTCAGAGTAAGTAGTTTAAAGATAACAATACTCAGTGTATTAACCATTGTTACCCTCCTATTATCTTGTTTTGAAATTTTGTTGTGTTTTTTTTCCCTTTAAAATTTTCCTAAGAAATGAAAGTCAGATGTTGAACTTATTTATTATAGTTATTTGCATATTTTTGGCTGCTTTACACAACATTCCTACATCTATAAATATTGTTTTCTTATAATTGAGTTCTCTCAATTATGCAGTAGATAAAATGAATAAAATGTGTTTACATTGCAAGTCTCCTGGGGGAATTCCCCCCACATTTGACTGTCTTCCCCAAAATTCAAAATAGGCTACATGCATATTTATAAACACTCCTTCCACTTGTGTTTCTTCCCTGCTTCCTCTCATTGTTGAAACCATGCTCAGCCGTCCCAGAGCCCTGCCTTTCAGGAGCATTCCCAGCACTCCAAGGACACTCCAGCCACCTTCCATAGGTCAGCTCCCTCAAGGACCTCTTTGGTCTCCCACAAGTCCACAAGGCATGAATTCCTTGGGAAGTTCTATCTGGACTGACTTGGACCTCAAGTCCTTGATATTTGAGAGGGAAACGAATGGTCTTAACATCTGTTAACTTTGTCCCTATCGGCATATCAGGTGAGATATCAAGGAAACAGATACCCAGGCCATGGTGTTTTTGTACTTCAAAGAGAGAGGTCTTTCACTAACTCTTTGGACAGTATGGCTCTGGTACTAGTGGTGAACAAATGTAGGAATTATGTGTGCTCACTTCTCTTGATACTTGATACCTTCCACATCATGCTTCCTGTAGTAAGCTCCTTCTAGAACTTCTTGCTAGGCGTAACTTTGTGTCCTTCTGTGATAGCTATGTCTATCAGAAAAAGAAAAGCAGACTCACTCATTGTGTGTCCCTTTTTACCATATCTGCTAGCAAATTCAAATGCTTTTTGGAATTTTTTATGGATAACTGCTGATTGAGATAATTAAATTCAAGAGTTACACTCCTCTTGTGGGTTCTTATTCATTTGAAAGATATCAGAACCAGTTACATTAACAATATTATAATGCAAGGCACTAGGTTTCCTAGTAAATATTGCTAGGGAAATGCTTCTGCAATACAAAATGCAATTCTCCCCCTCCCTCATCACAAATTATCCCTAGCTGGTCTTCAGGACCCACCTGTGGATCAGACAGAGGATCCCTTTCCAATGATGCAAGAGAGAAGAGGCCAGAAGGAGGCAGCCTCTTCAACTAGCTCTTAAAGACAGATCTAAACCACAACCCATTTGGCTTCCATAACAGACCAAGAGCAAGACATAAACAAGCATGTGTATGTTCATAACCAATGATCCTAAGCCAGATCCACAGCTTGCCGCCGGGTATTTGGCTGATGGGACTGAGCTCTTACGATCTCAAACTTTTAAGTAAGTTATTCTGTCTTTTTCTTACTCACCCTAAGGCTCGCAGGGAACCTGCTTTTACCCCAGTCTCATCTGTGTCACTCCCATGATAAAGAAGGGAAGGGGTGATGGTGTTGAGATTTGGAGCAGCAGATGACCAAGCTCCAGATATTCCAATGTATGCTTCTTTGGGGCATTGACAAATGTCTCCCCTCTGTACTTGAGAAGCCAGGGAATTAATATTGTCTAATTATGGTTGCATAAATTGACAGAGAAAAATAGGACACAGAATAAAGATTGGTGTTTAGTAGCAACAAGGGAACTTGAATTGTCACACATTCAACAAATGTTAGCTTTCTGTCCACTGTGTGTCAAGGGTAACACTCACCATTGGGGGCACCGTGAATATCATGACAAGCAAAGTCTGTCAGAAAATTTAGGCTCTGTTTTCCATTATCTGTGATCCTTCAGGCAGTTTGTAGTTGTGCATGTAACATGAAGTTCTATACTATCAGTGTGATCATGTTCACTTCTAGTTTTAGCATTCCTACTGTTACGTTTAGGTCCGTAGGGAACATTGTTTCATAATATTAGCTTGAAAAGGTTGATCCCTAGAAATTCTCTAGGTCTGTTCTTCAAACTTTCTGTTTTGCTGTGTGTTGAAATGGAAGCCATAGTTCTCATCTGATTACCCAGTTATTTACCATCAGCCAAGAACTCAACAGCTGCAGTCAGAAGTCCCTCTTCAACTTAATGAGAATAATTCAGAGGAAGGGGAGTACAAATCAAGTGAGGGAGGCCATGTGCAGGTGCTGAAGAGGTGAGCAGCTGTGAGCCAGGAGAGCACGTATACACAGAAAAGGCATTTCTACTTTGAAGTAAAGTAACAGGAAGCATCATGCTTAGCTGTGCATATGAGAACAATCACTATGGCTCCACTGCAAAAAGGAGTATGATTAGAGGTGTGGATTTGTTACAGGCTTTATCAGCAATTGGGAAGGCATTTGTTGCCCTGGATCAAGGAAGTGGAGGACCGTAAGGACACAGTAAAAAGATGGATTCAAAAGTTGATGGCAGGGGCAGGGGAGATTTAGGTTGGGTGACTGAACTGTGTCTGGGTGTCTGTACAGTAATAGACTAATCCTGGGGAAGGGCAGAATTTTTTAGAGAGTGCACAGTGGACCCTGAGATTCATGGGGTTACATTCCTAGACCACCAATGCATTGTAAAAACTGAAAGTTTCAGGTATGGTCAGAAAAATATCTATAAATGCCAATTTTTATAGTTTGAACCCTAACTATGGTAGGTTTCCAAGAGTTACATAATTTAATTTAATGAAATGCTATATTAATAAAGCCTTAGAAGGTGCAGGGTGTTTTGGCAACGTCTTGGGGATCTTAGTGGTGCAAGAAGAACAGATTCAAGAACATGTGGGAGGTAGGTATAGCGGCACAGCAACCTGTTACGATGTGGGAGTGCAGCTGCATCTGCTCAGGGTTACGGAGCAGGGCCAGGCAGCAGCAAGGAGAACTGCGCAATGCTCTGGGGCAGGCTACTCTGCAGGCTTCCCATCAAAAAATAAATATAATAAAGATTATGGAGGATATTTGTGATTTCCTCAAAATTGTGGGGTTTCTATGAACAATTATTAGTTAGATTCTAAAGAAAATTTCTAGAATGACTGGGACTGCAAACTCTGACACGGGGATATACTATAGTTAAAGAGGGCTGGGAGCAAGAGGGGTCTAAGACCATTCACCTCTCCTGTTTTTTTGCAAGCTGCACCCTCACACCTGTCTGATCTCGAGACTATCATACCACATAATTTGGGTAAATGCATGTTGTGTGAATTAATTCTCTAATGTGAAAACCTAAAATGAACTGTAGTACAGTCATACCTCACATCACAAACACTTTTGTTTGTGAACAATTTGGTTCGCAAAAGCATTTGGCACAGTTTTGTTTTTGTTTGGGAACTCTGCACCAGATCATAAACACAACCACAGCCATCTTTCTCACATCAAGGTGAACGTGGCAGTCTTTTCTAGAATCATGAAATGAATTAAGTTCATGAACCAAATTACCACTGTATTAATGCCCTTAAATTTCAGGGTAGGCTTGAAGAAACCATCAACCTTCACCCCCTAGGAACACCCCCTGAGAACACCTTGATGGTTAAGAGTCATGAAAGTAGACTGAACAACTAACTCTTCCTGGCGTCCTAATCCGGCATCCTGTTTAGATCTGAGATTTCTCAGAAACTGACCTACTCCATATAAACATATGGTTCTGATTGACTTTAATGGGATTCCCTTGCAAACCACAGATTCTAAATTATACCCCAGTAGGCATAACATTTATAGGACACAGATTATCTTACCCTGAATACCCCTTGGGCACTGTTACTGAATTCTGACAGAAGCAGAACTGGGACAAGAGAATATAGTAGAATGTCATGTTCACAAGTTCATCTCTTGTAAGCCACGGAAATTAGGTATTTCTAAGCAAAGAGCATTTTTTAAAAGAAAAAGACATTTAATTTCATGCTAAGAAACATTAATCATCCTATAGTGTTTTTCTTTGATTTCTTACAAGGACAAGGCATTTTGGGATGGATGGGAGGAGGAAAGGGTATTTTTTCCCAGGTCTAGAGAATAAATGATTTAGTAGGCATTCCACGTTCAGTGCACAAAAAGAGGATTTGCATGTGAAATTGTTTCAGCAAGAAAACACATCATACTCAGAGTTCATGGGAACTACCTCGAGCAGTGGCGGCTCCTTCAGCCATCTCCTTTCTTTTCTTCCCTCTTGCAGGTCACTGGATTGACACTGTCTCAGGACCTTGATGATCTTGCCATCCTCTACTTGGCCACGGTTCAAGCCATTGCCGTAAGACACTTCAATGACATTTTAAAAGGAATCTAAGGCTATTGGTATATGCAGTGTGATTTTAAAATATGATGTGTGATTACATTTTTAAAATGTTGATTAAAATAAAAGACACATTGCCATCAATCCCTATCTAAACAGTCCCCCTCACTTTGAACACACTTATTCCATCATTTTGGCCATTTTATGCAGTGGTTCTGGGAGTCCTCTTTGATATCCTTAGTAGTGTTCTCATAAGTGCCTCAGTGTCATAAATTGATTTAAAATGTTTACCTGTCGTGGTCCTTTTGACATTGGGAGAGAGTCCCACAGTGCCACATCCAGTGAATAAGGTTGATGAGGATACCTCATTATGTTTTTATAAGCTAGCCTTTCCACTGGATGTACTATATTTTTAATCATACCTCTTAGAGACAACAAAGAGGACTTCTAGAACTGCTGAAGAAAGTGGCTAGACTCATGGTACAGCATGGTTGAGGTGAAGGGGGTTATTTTAAAGGGGATTAATGGCAAAGTAATATTTTCACTATAATTCTTAAAATTTAAACCTTCAGTTTTAGATCACCACTTGCACTACTATAGACCATCAGCATCCCAAGCTTTTGTGACAGTTTTTTAATTAAAAAGAGAGATGGTAGTTTTCCAGAAGGAAATTTGATGGTCTTGATTTACTAGTAACCCCACATGATTGAAAGGGGAACAAATATAAGAGTCTTTGAGGCTACCTCTCATTTATCTTATTTGTCTTCTAACTTCAGTTAATACAAAGCAAGCAGGCACGTGCCAGGTATGCTTGCATTAGAAAAGCTGGTGTTAAGAATGTCCAAATTTATAAAACATTTAATATTGTATACTTTGTGAAATAATTGATTATAAGGTTTCCTTAAATAACCTTTTTAGAATGTGACAATGTTTGCTTTTTGATAATTAGCTGTTTCAGTATTAAGATGGTTAGGAATAGTATTAAGATGGTTAAGAATAATATCTCCCCTTGGGCCGGGGAGATAGCTCAGTAGAATATAGTGCTTGTCTGGCAAGCACAAGGGCCTGAGTTCAATCCCTGGTTCCTCAAAAAAAAAAAAAAAAAGAAAGAAAGAAAGAAAGAATAGAAAGGAGAATTTAAATCTAAAATAGTAGGAGCTCCTAAGTCCAAAATGAAACCAAAATCCTAGAAATGTAAACATTATATAAAAAATATTCTTATCTAGAGGTTTGTAAACTGTGATACCACAAAAAAAAGTATGGGTATATATGTTAAAAAATATATTTTGGTGGATTAGTCATGGCTTTCAGGGTCTCAAAACAGGTACATGAAAATAATGGTTAATCTACTGTAGTCAAGTCACTCTGGGAAATCAGTAAGAACAAGCATAAAAGAAAAATCAATATACTAAATTTAAATTCAGAATTTATTAAGTAGATGACTTTTTAAACAAATAGTTTTAATACTACACAGACATATATGATATTCAGTTATTCTATTTCTCAAAACAATACTTTCATAATATTATTACTTTGAATATTAGAACTAAGTACATATTTATAAATATCATCAATAGAACTCCTTTTTTTAATTCATCTACCATGCATATGCAATAGAGAACAGAACTGCCCAACTACTAAAAGAGGATATACCTTCTTTAATGTCACTGTGTAGAAGTAGAGAATCAGTCAACTTTCTGAATAGTCCTTGTGTGTGATGTCCCAATCAATCTATGTACTAATGTACTGCATGAGAAATCTTACACTAGAATAATCTCTTGCACTGAAATGAATACTGCAGAAAAATCAGCTTGCTTCATGAGCACAATGCTAAGAGATGGACACAAAGGATAAGGCTGGCCAGGATGTGCTGAGGGGCATCATTACATAGTGGTCACGTGACCTTCTGGGGACTCCAACCCTGTGTCTGACACCATGCATCACCTGCGTTTTACAGACGAGGGGAAGAGGATAGTGCTGAGGCCATACAGCCAGTGTGTGGTAGTTGGGATTTGAACCTTTAGCCTTCTTGCTCCCAGGTGCTTGCTCATGCTAATTTATCATGTTACATTTTTCTTTGCTCTATTTGTAAAATCTACTTGGATGAAATAAGTCTTTGGATATTCCTAAGAACAGTTTTTACTAACACATTAGGAAACATCATTAACTTGACCCAGGATTTTTCTCAGAGGTCTTTTCCTTGATAAGACCATTGCAACAGGAATTCCAGAAGTGTAGAATGAGTTAAACTTAATGCAGGCAGGAGCAAGAAAAAGACAGTTATATTGTCCTGAGTACTACAATTTGTAAAATCAATTTTGCTTTTAATGGGCCATCAATATATTTAAAGCAATCAAATTTATTCTATCCATTGATTTAATGATCTTTATAATACATTAAAGGGAAGGTATTTTAAATAAGAGTTCTTGGTATGACTTTATTGTGGGGTTTATTGAATTGGGAGTTTGATTACTTAAAAAAGTATCTGAATGCACTGATCTTTCAGGTGAAAATGTGCATTTTAATAAACCATTCTGATAACAGATATCCTATAATGTTTGAACTGAAAAAAATAGTTTGTTTTATTTGTTTCCTGGGCCTTGAATATTGTCTTATCCCCTATAAGATGTTTTTAAGTTAAACAAGTTCCTATGTTTGGTAATATCTATAGTTAGTGTTTTACAGAGATAGAATGAAATTAAGGAGAGAAAACTTAACTCTCAGGACTACAAAACCCTCTATGCAATAAAATTCTTCCTTGCTCACACGTTACTGAGAGACCCATCAAAACCACCCAGTTCACCCAAAGCCTGTTCTATAGTTTTCTTTTTAGAATAGACCCTTCAGAAGTACTATTTGCATTTGAAGTCTCTTGATTTGCATTTGGCTTTGTGTATTCCCAGTGGAATAGCTTAATTTTGATTTAAGTATCTTGGTGAAAACATTTTTTCCAGACAGGTGAGCACAGAATCATTTTCACACAAAACGCTCTGGTGGGAAGGGTTATAGAGCAGAGTCTGGGATGCCACACAGAAAGGGAACTGGAAGGGACTGCTGGAGGGGGAACTGTGCCCACAGTGCCACACTGGGGTGAGATGGGCTGACATGGCCCCTGAGGGAATGCCCTTGTTCAGGTCTTTCCTTTGCTTTTCCCAGGAAATCTGTTTTGCATTATGCTCCTCTTAGGGCTGCCAGTCTTACTACTCTAGATGCTTGGTTTTAGAAGTATCAGAAATTTCAGTTTTGCATTGCATTCCCATGCAAATTGGAAGGCAGCTGCCCTCTGCAAATTATATAGCTCCTAAATGGGCATAACCATATGTAGTTTCTGAGTTTGTCTTAAGATTAGAGATGTTATTAAAGTGCATAGTGGAATTCATAGCACATAGCTCCTAAGTAGAAGAGCTATTTTGTGTGCACTTTCCATGTGTTCTCACACATGCTTCCTACATCAGCGAGCTTAGAAGTTAGGTGTCAACTGTGTCATCAAGTTGAAGATGGACTTTTATTTCATGTCATCATTTTTGACAATCCATACAATTTTTAGCTAAATGAATATGGCATTTTTGTTCCTGTTTGACAAGTAAGAATTGAGCCTTTGAAAGATTCAGCATAAGAAATACATGAAATGTTTAAATGTTGCTTAGGGTTCTTTTTTCCTCTTTATCCTACAACTTACTCCTTCAGCTATTACAGATCCACACGCCTAGAAGAGACAAGAACTGCCTGGAATTCCTGGGCAGTAGATGACCCACGGTGGATTTAAGGGTATCTGTTGGCCTCAGGAAGTTATGTGTGGAACTATTTTCTGTGGAACCTATTTTTTCTGGGTAGATTTTATCTTATGTTCAGTATGGGTTCATGACCCCCCAAAAGCCTAAGAAAAACATCTGGAAGTAACCAGCTATAGTCAATAAGCAGGATCTGGCCTTACAACATGTTTTAATTTTTAAACACAATACATCTGTGGATTCTCACTGGAGGCCTAAGTTTCACCTAATCCATATTTTTACCAGATTCATGAATGGCTTCAACAAACCCTGAAGAACTCTAGGCTAGAATCGCTGTGCCTTTTGCTCCTCCCCTGCCTTACCCTTCATCATTTTCTCCATACCAGTTGGGATTCCATATCGTCTGGCCCCAGACACCCCCTCTGATATTTTCTTCCTCAGAGGTACCCCATGTCCAAAGGAGAACTAATACTTCCTCTTGCCCTCAAGATGAGCTACCTGTACTTCTTTCCTATGCCCTCAGGACCAACTTCCCTGCAACACTGGCCTTCTGTCACTAGAAACTTTGATGTCGGTTCATAACTTCTCAGCAGCCTACCTCTTACCTTCTTGGGGGTGATACCAAGGAGGGGCTTTCCGTGGAGATCCCAGGCCTTCAGATCCTTGACTTTTTGTCTCTGTGGACCTTCTCCTCCCTCCACTTCAGCAATTCACACCCACGCATACCACACACCTGGGACACACAATTTCCCTGAACTGCTCAATCTCTAAACCTCTCAAGGGCTCTGTATACACCCCCAGTGCTCCCCATCCTTGCTCTCCAGAGCTTCCCCTCAGGGACTGTTATGTAGCTGCTCCTTAAATCACAGTTCCTCTTGTCTTTAATCCTTATCCCCAAATAAATTATGAATTTTGAACTTTTAATTTTTTTGTATTTCCAAATCAATTAGAATTTCTAGCTATTTGATAGCATGGTCAAAACTGAAAATTACATTGTAGTTCACCTCAGTAACCCTAAAGAAGTGTCCTCTTATCAAACTTTTACTGTGTTTAGTGCATTCAGCAAGGCAGAGATGAGGATCATTAGTTTTCAGAAGATACCAGACAGAACACCTAGAACGCCAGGGTTGAGCTTTCAGTAGGTGAAGCTCCAAGGCAGGCAGCACAGTTGTCCTCTTCATCATCCTAGCTCATGATGGTGGGCTAGTGCAGTGATGGCAAACTGTTTAGAGACTTCAGTGAAATGGGTAGCCCAATGCAGCACGTATGCCAGAGGGTCGCCGCCACTGAATTGGACACTGGCTCAGGAGCCTCACATTTAGAGGACCATTTGCCTGTGACAAATGAAGCGTAGGCCTTTTCCAGTCTGAAAACTGGCATCTCACATTCTTTGTACAGTTGTAGCTCCTTTTCTATTTTTCTGCTGCTGTAGTATTTGGCACCTTTACTAAGGAGTCTTTAGTTCTTCTTAGTGAAACAAGACTGACTCAAGTGCCATCACTGCTGGTGTTCAAAACAGTATTGCACTCATTCTGATCCTAGTACCTATCAGAGGGCATGGGTTGCAACAGACTATCCTCAAATATTTGACAGAACCGTGTTACTATCAAACTTGTTAACATCATCAACTGGTTTTGTCAGTGTTATATAATTACTGGTAGAAGTAAACAGTGGGGTAGTGAAGAAATTTTTGGAGTACAGCAGGCCTAGTTTGGAATCCCCACTCTGTGATTTAATTAGTTCTGTGATCACATGCAACATATCTCTGAGTGTCAGGATTCTGAGCTATCAGTGCAGAGTCAAGTACTGTGTAAACACATAGTAAGTGCTTGTCATTTATTTTTGCCACCATGCTAATGGTTCCTTTTGCATTTCCTTTTTAAGTTTGGGACCCGCTTCATCATAGAGGTCATGGAAGCAGCAGGGCACTCTATCAGTACTCTTTTCTTGTGTGGCGGCCTGAGCAAGAATCCCCTTTTTGTCCAGATGCATGCAGATATTACTGGTAAGTCTCATCGGGAGATATGAGCAGTGAATAGACATGGCATGTTCTAGGCTAGCTGAGAACAGAGGATGCGTGTAGAGTGCCAGGACCTAAGAGGTCTTCGTGTTCATCACTGGGAAACTCACTTCCATCCGTATCCAAGTATCGGATGAGATTAGATGGTGAGGATTGGATCTTAACAGCATTTACTGCACAGCTCTGAGCACCTGTTCTGATCCAGGAACAGTGGGGAATATTGGAGATACAGGGATGAGTGAGATGTACTTTTTAGCCTGTACAGAGCTCAAGGCACAATGAGAAGAACAGAAAAGGCAAACAGACACTCTCAGATCAATGTGGCCAGAGCTCTGAGTGAGGGAACAAGGTGATGGAAGCTTCTGTGACAGCTCAGAGTATGTGATCTAGAAGTGATCAGGATGCTGTCTTGAAGAGAAAACTGCAAATACTGGGAGAACCAGGGTTTAGCTGTAGACTGGGAATTTGAACCAAGAAACCAAGATCCTGGGACTCCTCTGCTCATCAGAATCAGGGTTCAGGCACAGGAGGAAAGCTGAGCATCAGAATGAGCTCTTTCTGGTAGGCGCAGGCAGTAACCTAGGAGTGGCCTTGGGAAAGCCCCTGGGGGCACAGAGGCCTGCTGGGTACCCTCCCCCTCTTCCTTTTTCTCCCTTCTTATCTCCATGGTCTGTGGAAGGGCCTATTCCAGTACAGGCCAGGGACCATAGCAGAATATGGAGGAAATCAGGGGACGTTGGTGCCTCACCACATCTCCTGTTCCAGTCAGATGTAAGTCTGTTTAACCCTGGCCTCTCATCCTTATGGTTTTCACTATCCTTTGCTCCTGGTTCCTTAACTTTGAATGCCGGGCAGGTCAAAGCCTCTGAGCTCCCTTTGATTTCCCTTCTAGGTTGTGCAGACCCCTGCATGTGAGAGAGTAGTCACAGTTGATTCCTGCACACTATAAGATAAAACTAGAGTTAATTGTTCCCATCTTAGACTGAGGTGCAAGTCAGAGGACAGTTTAGAAAAGGACAGAATAAGGGTACATCTATTGGAATGGGGACTATAATTACTGCCCATAATTACTACCATGAACCATTCACCTCATATGTGTCAGTGTGAATCATTCTATATCCTTTTAATCCTTCTGTACCACTGAAGTTAAAAAAAACTGGTGCCCTCATCTTACCAGGGAGGTGAATTAGGTTGATTTGCCAAAGTCAGTCAACCAGTTAAGAACACAGTCAGGCTCATAACCAACCCAGCCTGGGCCCACTGTCTCTGTACCTTACTGTTGACCCACCTGTCTTGATTCTTCTTTTGTAACTATTCCATGATGACTTCTCTCCCCAAGGAATCTAGGCCTAGGGATTGGACCCCGTGAGCAGAAAGAGGAAAGATAGACAAGAGCCAGATTATCTAATCCCTTGCCCCAGGAGAAAAACTGCAGCCACATCTTATCTAAAAATCAGCTAGGAGTTCAGATAAGGTTTAGACTTAAAATTTAGAGTGTGAATTTCCAATTTTAAGTCTACAGCCAAAAACATCCAACTGGGATGAAGGAGCGAACTAGAAGTCACCTCGGGGTAGCATACTGACTGAGAGAATGGGCAAACTGGGGCCTGTGGGAGCAGGGCAGTGAGGTAGCCCTGAGGAGCATGGGTCTGGGTTCAGCCTGCTTTCTCTGAGTTGACTCAGCCTGGGTCAGCAGCTTCCCTGAAAGTTCTGCTGTGGAAATGCTATCCTCCTAGCTGTGGGGTGAAGAACCTGTTAATCAGTGTTTCCATTCCCCTTAAAACTGAGTTCTTTGTCTCTAACTGTGTACCAGTTAGTTTTGAACAAAGGAATCTTTTCTTGGGGCCAAAATTCCTCTGCCTTTGGAAGCCTCTGAATGGCAAGCAATAGCAAAGTGCATCAGCCTTTAAATCCACTGGACTTTGCTAAGCTCATCAGATAAAACAGTTGACCATCCTCTTCCTTTCCCTCACCCACTTCCCAGAGGATAGGACACATTTGCATTTGTCCTATGAAAGGCACCTGAGCAAGCCATCAGCAGCTGTATGCAGCAGTCAGTGGATAGGTAGGGCTTTGATGCTTTTAAGTATTGTCACTGCTCTAGTTTTTTGTTTTTTTTTTGTTTTGTTTTGTTTTGTTTTTTTGCCAAGAAAGATTCAGAGAGGACCACAGGCACAGAACACTATTCCTAGAAATACAAATGAGAAAACACAAAGGATTTAGATGATTCTTTGGAGACAGGATGGTGTCCTGACAGCAGGAGGGCAGCTCTGTGACTGAGGGCGAGTTCTTTTCCTTCTCTGAGCCTCTGTTTTCTAGAAACATCATCAGCTCCCTCATGTAGATCATGTTGAACAGTAAATGCTTAGAAGTTTGGGCATCAAGCTCTGTGTCTGCTTCTTGGTAGGTGATAAATAAACGTTAATTTACCTCTTCAGGCCAGGGGGGCCTCATGTGAAAAAGGAGAAGGGATGACAAGAGGAAAAGCTGTTTAATATTTTGGCAGCAAAACCTCTGCCATGTCAGGGTCAGTGTTCTCTGTACAGGCAGGAAGATGGGCTTTGCTAGCTCAGGAAATGTCATCAGCGGGAGGAAGAACCTCCTTGTACCCTGGCACTTCAGTTAACTGAGGTTTCAGAAAACACTTGCTGTGGACTAAGTAATTGTAGGTTTCCCCTGCTGATTTGGAACTAAATGTTCCTTCTGTTGAATTTTGTTTTTAGTACTGGCATTTTGGTCAGAGTTTCCCTCTTCCTGCCTCATTCATTATCTTCATTCATTCATTCATGCATGCATACACTCTGCACATCATCCTGTCAAAGGCTGGACTTGGTGTGGGGATGCAAAAACAGTGATGTGTTGCCTAGAGTTTTCTTTAAAAGAGAAAACATGCTTGTGGTCGTCTGACAGAAAGACCAAGTACTAGACCAGAGAGAATGGTGTGAACCCAAAGGAAAGCAGAGGTGTTAGGGCCACTCAGGCCCAGAATTGGAAAAGAAAAATGTAAACTAAAGACCAGTGGAATGAGGAGTTTATTCATGGAGATTGCTTAGGGTGCAGGGAAACTCAGGCACCCAGGAAGTCACCTTGGATTATAACAATGTTGCCACCCCTAAGCTTGGAGGGGTCAGGAGTCCGGGGGCTCTGTGAAGAGGGAGCCCACTAGGAGCTTTGTGAGAAATGTAGCCAGCAGGCAAAAGTGTGGTCCACATTTGGCAGCTTCAGGACCCAGAGCCCCTGGGGAGAGGCCAGCAGGAGGTGAGGCTGCTCTGAGAGGCCAGGAGCTGCTAGGGAGTTTACCCTGGGGCAGTAAGATGAGGTAGGCCTCAAGAATCTTAACAGCTATTGCTTATCTAGTGCATTCTCCAAGCAATGCACTGTGTTAATTCCTGACTTTTAATAGAATGTTTAATTCTCATAGTAGCCCTAAAGGGGGTAAAATTTTCACAGTTGAAAAAGTTGAGGCACTGACTCAGAAAAGTTGAGGCTGGTTACCTAAGTAAGGTAAAGCCTAGGACCACACAACTAAATCAGCAAGGAAGCCAGAATCCACACGTGGCAGTCTGTCTCCAGGTCACTCCAGATCTCAGGGCTACAGCCTGAGAAGGAACTAGGGGATTCATTCAGCTCAATCTGAGTTCTGGCTCCAAGGGAGGCCTGGGGTGAGTTCCTCCCTGACGGATATATTGAAGTTTTTGACTGGAAGGTAAATGGTATTTGGAGGGGTTTCCTTCATCTGCACCATTTCTGGAGTTTTAGAAAGGCATGCAGTGCCCTATCCTGATTGTGCCACCCTGGCCCTTCAGTGCGGCCCTTCCCCTGTACGAGACCAGGAGGAACATATTGTGTTCCTTCTCTACTGCGCCATCCTACATCCCAGTTTACTTCCTTGTAGAGCTGCTCACATCAGTAATGTTATGTGCTAGCAGCAGTGGCCTCTACTTCTTCAGGACTTAACTAGGCCAGGAAATATGCTGTACCCCACCCACATGCCTGCTATTAATCTTCCCCATGCACCTGTAGGAGGTCTCATACCCTTTGACAAGGAGGCTGCCTAAGCTAACAGTTCAAAGAACTTGCTGGAGAACAAGAAACTCCTGAACAGGAAGGAAGTGCAGATCTGAGCTTCTCTGGGAGCCCTCATCGGCCCCGGCTTGTAAGCCCTTATTCACACCTCATTGCCTGCCTGAGTCTCCCATCCACTGTGATGATCGTGAGATTTGCTTCTCATCACATTGTCGCAGCATCATGTGCTGGGTACTGCTGAGAGAACAAAACTCTCACCCTCCTAGAGCTTACCTTCTAGCAGAGGAAAGAAACATTGGACAATATACAGTATATAAAATACAAGGTCAGTGATGAAGGATGGGGGTAAGGTATGAAATATGGGGTAAATTTTTACTTCAACTCCCAGGATCAGCAAAGAGAAGGCTGGGTTTATGCAAACCAGGGGCACAAGCACTTCCCACATGCCCTGAAGGACACTGAAGAAAGAGCAGAGAGGCCAGGCCAATGCAGCATGAGAGAGAGAGGAGAAGATGGGGAAGAGTGAGGCAGGACCAATAGGGAGGCCATCTTCTGGCCAAGGGCTGTGACTCGCCGGTGTGAGACCTCAGAAGCCACTGGGCAGCTGTACCCAACTATTACTGTTTTACTCTTAGCACTACCCAGCAGAGAACCAGCCCCCTAAAGCCTTGTGTTTCTTTTTTTACACATCTCCACTCTGAGACTAGAACAGCAGGACACAGTCTGATGGATCTCAGTATTCCTTGGCCCAGAAAAGCACATGATAAACATTTGTTGAACTGAGTTTGAATCAAAAAGCAGATAGCAGCAAATAGAAGCTCATGAGATGAAGGTCTCCGCTACTGCACCAACAGGCTCAAGCAGTAAAATACTTTAGAACTGGTGATCACAAGGAATAGGGTTAGGGATAGGGTTAGATTTTGGATGGGTTGCTACCTGGATGTCAGGTGTTTTCGCCAAGGGAGCAGCTTGCTGCCTCCCCACAATGCCTCTAGCCCTGGTCCCTAATTAAGTGTGACCTTGTCCCACACAGGCATGCCTGTGGTGCTGTCACAGGAAGTGGAGTCTGTTCTTGTGGGCGCTGCTATTCTGGGTGCCTGTGCCTCGGGGGACTTCGCCTCTGTACAGGTATGTGGGGATCCAGGGATGGGCTGTGGTCCCTCCCCATCTGAGACTGTCCTTCCCTTGACAGCAGTTTACATCTTGCAAAACACACATAGGATATAATTAAGAAATGATAGGTTTCAGCCTGGGTGATTACGAATGCTTCCCAGTTCAGACATACTTACTGCAGTTTCCATTTCAGTTGGCCTATGTTGATGTTGGTTGTTCTGTTTTTCTGTTGGTTTTCTTTTTTATCCTTTAAAATATCTCTTAAAATAAATGTATTTTAAATTACTTCTTGGACATTTTTATTTGAACAAGTGAAACAGATAAAGCTCAGAAATTTAGTTTTTCTTATGCATTTCAACTTCTGTATCCCTATTTCAACCTTATAACTTTCCAAGTACCTTTAAGGCCTCTATCAACTAGAAACACTAAAGAAAATGTTGGTTAAAAAGAAATTAAAAAGGAAAATAGGGAACAAAGATACAGAACGATGGAAGCTATTTAGTGGCTATGACTGAATACTCAGTTTGGCTCAAAAGAAAGAAAACACACGAAAAGTTTCATAATTTTTATTTTCAGAAAGAGGAAACATAGTTTCTGGTAAGATTCAAAACCTTTACTACCACCAAGGTTACAAAAGACACTGCAGACTGGGCATGGTGGTGTGTGCCTATAATCCCAGTGCTTGGGAGGCTGAAACCATAGGAGGATCACTATGAGTCCAGTCTGTATAGTGAGACCCTGTAGATGATGTACTTGCTTGCTTTCTAAACATGTTCCAAGTGCTCAAATACTATGAAATAGTACAGAGTGAATGTTGCATAGAGGCCAAGAGTATATGCTCTGGAGTTCAACCAAGTCCAGGCTTGATTAACTATCAGCACCGTGACTTCACTAGTCCAGTCTGCAGGTACCTTTCTATGGAGCAGCAAACAGTAGGTAGCTTGTTATAAGTTCTCTCTTTGAGTCATAAACACCCATTTAGTCTCTTCTATAGCTCTTTTAGCCCCACTTTATAGTTCAGAAACCAGAGCCAACAACTTGACTTAACTTGAAGCAGGATTTAATCTAATAAATCTTAAAACAAGAAATCTGGGGGCCAGGGAGATGGCTCAGTGGAATAAGCGCTTCCCTGGCAAGCGCAAGGGCCTGAGTTCAACCCCCGGTTTTGCCGAAAAAAAAAAAAAAAAGAAAAGAAATCTGTCTCTCAGCTCTTAGCTGAGAATGAAGAGATGTTTATTCAGAGAACTTGGTGACTTGACCAAGGTCTCAAAGTAAAGGCAAAGAGCCAGGTTTTCTACAAGTAGCCCAAGTGACTCTCTTATATGCTAGGTACTATGCTGTGTGTGTTTTTGTTTTTTTACTCTGATTACCCATAATAATATGTCATGGATCACAAAAATTGATCAAGAGATCCAGGGAGCTTAATCTTAATTTATTAGAAATAGAAGTCAGTTTCTAAAATCTATGTCTTTGTTCCACATTTTGGGAACTGTGGTATACTATATACTGCCCATGCCCCCAAATACATATCTATCCTAAGGAAATTAATCTACTTATAAACACTTATAGACTACAACTGAAGTCTTTATGTAAAGATGGTATAATTGAATTTTCCACATTTTTTTAAAAAAGATTTCAACGTGGTTTAAAAAAAAAAAAGCAGGATTAGATATGATACAAAAAGACCAAGCATGGTGGTGCACACCTATTATCCCAGCACTGGGGAGGCTGAAAATAGAAGTATCACTAAAAGTCTGAGCTATGTACCAATACATAAAAATAAATCATACAAAATTTAATTAAACAAACTAAGAGCAATTTGACAACGGTTGTTGTGTTACATGATGTGATATTGAAATTAGTTGTTTAGGTAACCAGATATGAACCAGCACAATTGGTTTTTAAAAAAGTTATAAGAAATTAAAAAGACAAAAAAAAGTTAGAAAATGTTAAGCATTAACTGCTTCTTTCAATAGACCATCAGAAATTAGCAGTATATTATACAAGCCATCCTGTGTATATGCATATATATTTCTTTTCCTCTTCTTTTTTTTTCTTTCTCTCATACGAGTTGTAGCTTCCCTTTGAACAGTTTCTTTCCCTTTCACACTATTGTACTTTTCAGTTTTTTATTTACTCTTTCAGAGTCTCTCACTAGTGAGATAATACGATGTTGGCATATGACGCAGGTCTGATTTACCTCACTTACCATTACAGTCTCTAGTTGTATCCACTTACCTATAAAAGCCTTAAATTTATTTTTATAGCTAATACTCCATTTTATAAAAATACTGCATCTTTTTTAGCCATTCCTCAGATGATGGGCATTTGGGTTGTTTCCAAGATTTAGCTGTGACAGTTTTGCTGCTAGAAATATGGGCGTACATATATCGCTGTGCTATGATATTTTCTGTTCTCTTTTGGAAAAATACATAAGAGGAGAACAGCTGGCTTGAATAAGACCTCCAATCCTAGCTTTTTGAGAAATTTCCACACAGATTTCCATAGTGGTTGCACCATTCTGCATTCCCACATAGTGGAGAAGGGTTCCTTTTTCCCCGCAGCCTCTCCAGCATTTGTTACTGATTGTCTTCTTCATTATAGCCATTTTCTCTGGTGTAAGACAGAATCTTAGCATTGTTTTATTTGCATCTCTTGAAGGACCAACGAGTTTGAATTTTTTTTCATGTGTTTATTTGCCATTTGTATTTCATCATTTGTGAAGTGTATATTCATCTCAGATGCCCATTTTTGATTGGGTCTTTAATTATTAGAGACCTGATTTTTTTATTGTTTATATGTTCTAGATAGAAGTGTGTTGATTGAGGAAAAGTCCACTATAATTTTCTCCCAATTCATGGGTTTTATATCTACTCTGTTGGTAATTTCTTTTGACCTGCAAACTTTCCCAAAAGAAGAGATCCCAATACTCTTTGAAGTATTTCCTATGCAATTTAGTTTTTGTTCATAAACTCTCTACCTAACCCTATGTTTGTAAGATTTCTACCTATTCTCTTCCAGATTTAATGTTTCAGTTTTAATATTTAAATCTTTGATTCATATTTACAGTAGTTTTGTGCATGGTGAGAGACATGGGTCTAATTTTATTTAGCCTTTGGCATATGGAAAGCCAGTTGTTCCAGCACCACTTTTTAAAGAGACTATCTTTCCTCCAGTGAAAATGTTTGGCCCCTTTGTCAAGATAAGGTGGCTGAGTGTGTTTGTAGTTGTGTCTGCATCTTGTAATGTGTTCCATTGACCCTCAGGTCTTTTTTTTTTTTTTTTTTGCCAGTGCAATGGTGATTTTATCACAGTAGTTTTGTAGTATAATTTCAAGTCAGGGGTTGTGATGACTCTTGTCTTTTTTTGTTGCCCAGGATTGCTTTTGCTGTTGTAGGTCTCTTTTGGCTCCAGATGAATTTTAGGAATGCTTTCTCTAGATCTGTGCAGTATACTTTAACTGGGATTGCATTGAATTTGTACAACAATTTTGAGCGTATGGCCATTTTCACAATGTTGGTTCTTCCTATCCAGGAGCAAGGAATATCTTTCCGTTCTCTGAAATCTTTCATCTCTGTTTTCGGAGTACTGTATTTTTCACTGTGAATTTGACTTCTAAGTATTTCTTCTATTTGGATGTTATTGTGAAAGACATGCTTTCCATAATTTGTCTCTCAATGCACTCACTGTTTGTGTATAGAAATGCTATTGATTTTTGAGTGTTGACTTTGAATCCTATGGTACTGAATTTGGTTATTAAATCTTCAAGTCTCTTGGTGTAATTTTGGGGGTCTTCTATGTAGAGTATCATGTCATCTGCAAATATTGATAACTTTACTTATTCCTTTCTAATCATTGTTCCTTCTCTTGTCTAATTGCTCTAGCTAATGTTTCCAAAACTATAATGAACAGGAGTGCTGACAGAGGGCACCCTTGTCTTGTTCCTGATTTTATTTTATTTTTTTCATTCTTTTTTCAAAGTTTTATTGATAAACAGATAGCAATGAGACAGTTTCAAATCCAATCGGAAGTACAGTTTCAACAAATAATACACTGCATATATTCTTCTTAGTGGTTAATTGCTGTACAAGAAGTAGACTTGTGATCCTATTTACAAACACCATTAGAACAAATCATTCTATTCATTAAGAGAATGCAACTATATATCTATCTTAGCCACTTTGAATACACAGATACAAAATGGACATTCATCTGTATACCCCATTATTTCTCAGTTCCGTTATTGAATATTATAGGTGTGTAAACTCAGCAAAATATTCTAAAAGAGTCCAGTAGCCCATAATAGCATTGGGTCTTCTGTTTAACTG